TGAAGACAGCTCGGAAGCTCCAACTAGTCCAACGCTCGGCAGCCATGATTTTAACAGGAGCGGAGCGCAGGGAGCATACAACCCCCTGTTGCGCCAACTCCACTGGCTACCGATCTGCTACCGGGCCGAATTCAAAGTGCTGGCGTTGGCCTTTAAAGCCCTAAACGGTTCCGGCCCAAGCTACCTATCTGACCGCATCTCTGCCTATGAACCCACCAGGACTTTGAGATCTTCCGGGGAGACCCTGCTCTCGATCCCATGCTTCTCAAGCTCGGCTGGCGGGGACGAGAGATAGGGCCTTCTCGGTGGTGGCTCCTCGGCTGTGGAACGCCCTTCCTACGGACATTAGACTAGCACCATCTCTAATGGTATTCCGCAAAAAGGTGAAGAACTGGATGTTTGTGCAGGCGTTTGAGTAATTTAGTGCAATCTGGTAATGGAACATAGGAATGGAACAATGGACGACGAACCTGGACTACGCTTGGATGATGAGAAGATTGGGTACGGTTGTTTTTTGTAATAATTGTGCATTGTAATTGCTTATTGGTAATTTATGGATAATGTGTTAAGTCAAGTGTTATATGTTGTATGGAACCACTGCTGTTTCTACTGTTTTTACTGTTTGTGAACCGCTGTGAGTCGCCTTCGGGCTTGAGATACAGCGGTATATAAGCAAAGTAAATAAATAAATAAATAAATAAATAAACATCATGGAAATCAAGGAAACGGCATCATTGTGTGTACAAAAGAGTTTTTATAGAGAATCAGTGACTGTTTAAAATCAAGCTATAAAGGAATTTAGAGGCAGAGCCAGCATCAATGTCTTTTTTAACTTTAGAGGAGAGGTGGGGAAAGAGAGTTCCAAGGGCCACATTCAATCCCAAAACCTGGCAGCACCCCCCCCCCCCCAGCCCCGGTTCTTGAGCTCCTTAATTTATCAAAATTGTTGTGTAGTTTCAAGAGGAAAATTTCAGGTACTTTCCCCTTGAATATATAAAATAACCCCATGCCCACACCTGCAGTAATGTGCTTTTGCTGTTGTCAAGCAAAAATAGTGTCCCGAAATATCATGACACAGCCTATTGCATCCCCTGAAAAATTCAATTTCACTTCCTTCACATAAAAACTGGGGCACATGCAATCAAGCGACATCAGAATGTGGTCAAGATGGCAAAGGTTATTAATGAGGATGAACAGAGAAAGTAGGAGAGGCTGCAGGTGTTTGCTTTTGTCTGAGACTCCAGGGAAGGGTAAAATTCAGCCACCTTATATCATTCCCCCATTTTAAATTAATTGAGTGAAAAAATACTTTTTTTGTACAATTGAAGAATGTTGAGGAGAAAAGGGAAGGAGGATAGAGAGACTGGGGCATTTAGAAAAACTGGGGCAGCTGAAAAAAGGTCAGCAAAAGATTCCCCTAGATACCATATATGTCTAGAAATTTTAGTCAAAATATAAATTAAAAAAAACCCTTGTGTCAACTAATATGGGTCACTGCTTGCTGTACCTTAACTCTTATCAAAAGAGTATCATGGGGAAATTGAAGAGGTTTATCCATCCTGTGTGAAAGCCTGAAGAAGCACTGACTCCCTTTACCCCACTGTGGTACCTTTTTGAATGCCTAAGAGAGTAATAGTATTAGTTATTGGTAGCTGCCTCCCATGGCAGTTTTAGTGTTTTCCTATTGCCATGGAATGATCCTTGTCATATTGAAATCCTTGACTTTGGCTTCCAAACCTATCCTAGAACACATGAGATTGACTTTTGCATGAGTATAATTTGGTCCGTCCATGCCAAATCAGGATAGCTGAAAGGAATAGATGAAACTTTCCACCTCTATCTTGAGGCATTTGGACAGGATTAGGATCGCTGAGGTAACCATTCCCCCCCCCCCCACCAGTGATCCCCATATGCAACTTATGTAGGTTAAAACAATGATCCGTGAATTTTCATTTTTGTATTTGAGGTGACAAAACAAGGAAGAACTGCTTCCCTACAAAGAGTTAGATCTGTAGGTCTGCAGATATTTAATGGGGAGCCTGAAAGATGAATCCTCTGCTTTGGCTGAAGCTATTAAAAGCAAACAGCAATCTAAGAATTCCCAAAGCTACACTTTCACTCTGTACAAGTATTTTGTATTCATTCTTGACTGTTTCCCTTATAGATGAGTGAGATTACCATAGTTAAAGCACTTTGAAAAGGAGTTGTCTAAACATTTGAAATGGAAAATGAAGCATTGGGGGATTCTCTTAATTGTGTCAAAATATTATATCTAATTATGATAGCCACTCTTCAAAAGTAGGATCCTTTTTTGTAATTATGCCAAGCAAGGACGTCAGAATAGTATTTATCTATACCATGAAAAGGAATAGGCTGTGATAATCTATGGAATACACAAGGTAAAATAATAATCAAGAATTGTGCTTCCCTTCAATATTTTGAAGGGCTATGCCAGAATGATTGTGTAAAATGACTTATGGTACATGGCTACAGACAGGAAAGTAGGAAGTTGTCTTAGGACCATTTAACACAATGTAATAGCAAGATTATAATTCCACTTTAATTGGCATCCTATGGTTTGTAGTTTGGCAAGTCACTGAGCTTTGTGGCTGAGAATTCTAAATAGTGTGATGTTAAATGCTATCAATGTGACTTCAACTTATGATGACCCTATGAATGAGAGATCTTCAAGTCACCTTGTCATCAACCTTCAGCTCAGATCTTGTTCATTCCTGACTGGAGCCTTCTTAATCAGATCTATTCATCAGCAATGTGTTCTTCATTTCCTGCTGCATCCACCTTGGCAAGAATTATGTCTTATCTATGTGAGTCATGTCTTTTCATGATGTGTAAATTCCCCTATCATGAGAGTACATATGAATTCTAAATACTCTTTCCTAAACTGCAGATCCCAGGATTCCATGAACAAATTCTGCCACCAAGAAAACCCAATAATGGGTTCTGCTTAGGGTCACAATAAGTTAGAAATGACTTGAGTGCACACAACAACAGTATTTCAGTATCAGAGGTATTATACTTCTGTATTTTAGCCAATTATCCTTCTTTGATTTATTAATAGAAAAAAAATCCAGAATGCTTCTTGAGTATGAGACTCAAAACACTGGGAAGGGAGTCAAATTTCATAAAGTTGTATAATTGTATATAGATTCTAAAGTTCTATCATGGTTAAGCATTAGCTTTTGGGAAGAATACCTAATGTTTGTGGCAAGCATGTCCGTACAATGTTTTGACCAGAGTATGTATTTATTCACACTATACATTTGCACATAGTCTGTATGTTATATATATTTTATTTTATTTTTGTGGCCAGGAGTCTAAATGCACAGTTATTCAATACTGAATGTTATATGTGATATGGTAGTGGTTTTCTCATTTTCAGGATGTGTACTTAATTCCTAGGAAGCTGTCTTATGAAATTGAGCTGTAGCATATCAGCACAGTATAAAAGCATTAAATAATTATAACAGACAGAGAAGCAGCACAGCCATCAATTAAATTCTACTTTATGAGTTGATAAATTATTCAGTCCACTATTGGGAGAGGAATTTTCAAAAGTGCTATTGAGTATCATAGAGGGATACACTTAATGTAATATATCAAGACAAGTGTTCAACACCACTCTCTCCCACATTCCTCCATGGCTCCACGTGTCATGCACTAGTGATGCACTAGGCCAGGCTCTCAACCTAAAATGACTTTCTTTGTGAAAACAAAGACACATGTCAACATTCTATAGTCAGCAAGAGGCTCCAGGAATAAGCCATTGGATTCAAGACATTTTTGCTGTTCTGACACTGCTGAAGCAGAGTTGAAGCAAATTCACTGCTTCCATTCCTGTCTTTCAAAGGAACTGGCTACTAGTCAAGACTACTATATTTCACCTGTCGTAACAGAACCAATATTCTGCGTATTAGTTGCTCATGATGGCAGGTAACAGATGCAATTGCATTTATGTCCTCTTTGGCTGAATTAACACAGCAGAAAGGGCCTGATTTTCTCCTTCACACCCACCCCATGGGTTGTACTGGCATACCTAGACACAAATACTGCAGGTGAGATATATCTGAAAAAATGAGTGGAAGTGACTTCACACTATTTCATTTTTTTACATTTTCAATAAATTTTAGCAAAAAAAAGTGTGTGTGTGTGTGTGGGGGGGGGGGGTTCTTATGGGTTCTTTAGGGTTTGAGGGACTGCCAGGGTGCTGCAGTCACCACATACAGCTATAATTTCTCCTTCCCTGGCTTATATTTTAATAAAATTTGTTTTCCTTCAAGGTTCTGCAAAACACTTGCTGCTACAGGTTGGGTATGCGAAAATCTCCTTTTGAATTCCATTGTGCTTCTTTGAATCCCATCTGCATTTCTCCCCATGCTTGCTTCATATCAGGTTTCAAGATCTGTTGAATCTAGAGAAATTAATTTCCGTCCTTGTCCCAGACAAGCACAGCTGTTCCCCCCCCCCCCCCGCCCCCAGTTTTCGAAGAAATATCTGTCACCAAGAATTATTCATTGTTCAGTATTGTATAATTCAAATGTACTCCTGTTATTCCATATCATATTTCCATAGTGTCAATGCTGATTAAAGTTGGGTTGGTTTCTGTGAGGTGCCACATGATCATTGTTCCATACACTGGGATATTTCTGATGCCCTTGTTATGATATAGCTCCAGAGGGTCCTGGAAATCTAAGGAAGCAACAGATCAAAGCAGAAAAAAGAGGTATTTCAGGAAATTTTAGTGCATCACCAAACTACAAAATCTTAGCTGTTTCGAACTTTGTTGCATCCATTGGTGGAACCTTTCACAGTCTAATTATAGTACTATGATTCTTTTGGAGCATGTAAAAATCAGTTGTGAATGTGTTAATTGAAAAATGAAAAGCATGAAGCTATTTGGTTGGGCCATGCCCAAAAGGCTAGCTGAGCCTGGGAGTTTTGGCAACAGTTACATGTTTAGATTTTCTGTGCAGGGAGCTTACCAAGTCAGTTTAATTTTCTGCTTCTGGGCTACTGGAAGATCCTTCACATGGACACTCAAGGACCATTTGAATCTCTATCAAAAGGACATTGTGTGAGTCGCAACTGTTCATATGACTGTATTTATGTTGCTCTAAATAACAAAGAATAAACATCTTATTCTTTACTGATCATCTGCATGGCATATCTTTTCTATATCATGACAGTGAACTACACGTGATTGTCATTCCGTCACAGATTCCACTTTAACTTCTATGGTAACATCCTATGGAATTCTTGGATGTACAGGTTAGTGAAAAGTAGAGGTCTTAGCTAGAAAGCTCTAGTGCATCATCAAACTACATCTCTCATGACTGCAGCCATGACAGTTAATGTGGAATCATAGTGCTATAACTATGTTGTGTGAAAAGTCAGTTTTAAAAGCTAATGTTTTGTATCAGGACTGTTGATTGCTTCTGTTGTTATTTTTTCCCCTGGAAGCAGAAACTGTCATTTTGAAAGGTAATTTAATTTATATTTTAATTCAAATTTTAAATAAAATTTAAAGATTCCTTTAATGCACTAATACTGCTCCAGTAGTAAGTCTAGGCAAAAGGCAGTTTTCAATGTAATACATGTAATTTTGTACTTGCAGCCAAGTATTTTCATTCCTTCCTCTTTTCTTCTCCAGCTTTCAACCTCCCACAAAGCATCCTTCTTTCTCACACACATATAGTCGCTCCACACACTTATTTTTATTCTGTGTCTTATCTCTCACTGTCTGGCTTGTGAATTATGTGTCTGTCCTGCTCTTATATTTTCTGCCAGTGTTGTTGCTCCACATGGATTGGTCATTTTTCATCGACTGAGTTATATATAGTCATCACATTTGCCACCTGTGTTTTCAAGGCAGAAAATGAAATCTATGTATATCCTTTTGGGACAAAGGATTTAAACCTGCTTTTGGCTACTCTCTTGGGCATGTCAAAGTTATATTTGTTGTAAACTGTTACTGAACTGCTCAAATACATTTGGTGGATTTGATAGATGAAGTGTAGTCCTGGAAGTTTTGCCCAGTATCATCATCAGTATAATAATGGTAGAACTAATTTGACACTTCATTAAATATATTTGAGTATTGTTACTTAGTCTAAGGCACTGGCTCTCAACCTGTGGGCCGTGGCCCTTCCTGGGCCGTGAGAACAAAAATCCAGCCCGCAAACCTCCTTCCTTTTTATTTATCTTATTTATTTTATTTCCACTCCTTTCCACAGAAATGACAAGCCTCACCCCTTTTGGTACTAATATTGGAGAGTGGTCGCTGGTCAAAGTGGTCCCAGGTCAAAGTGGGTCTTGGTCAAGAGGGCCCTGGTCTAAAAATTGTTAGGAACCAGTGATGTAAGGGCACCAGAACTTGCCTGATTTTTGAATCTAATTAGGGTTAGCCGAGGTTCATCCTTTGATGACTGACCACCAACCAATACCAGTTGCTTTAGGCTGTATTTTGAAGGAATTGGCAAAACCACCTCTCAGTATTTCAGCCTAGGAAAATCCTATGAAATTTATATGCAGTCACTGTAAGTCAACAGGCTCATGGCCCTCAAATCATAATTTTTGTGTAAACTAAAATAGAGATGGAGATAGAAATATGATTTTATTTAGATATACCTATCTTAAATTTACTTGTTAAGAATCCATTTAATTCTTTAAATGTGAGCCACATCCGTTGTTTCCTAGAAGATATCTTGTGGCTAGCCTCAAAGTTTCAAAACATTGCTAATTACTTTATGGGAGAGGCACTGTAAATGGCTTCAGTGATTATAGCTGCTTTTCCTGCTGCTTTTTAAGCAATGCATCCTTAATCTTTTTAAGCAACACACCTAAAATGAAGAGTCACTGAAATATAACTTCAGCTTGAGGTATACAGTTACATAGGAACTTTATGCAGAATTAGATAGCTGTCAACAAGATCCAATGCTGTCAACTATTGTACATATTCTCCTGATGGTTTCCTAACATCTGTGACCCAAGCAAGCTGTCTGATTGTTGTTGATTTATCTGCTGATGAAAAATGATACACAGAGAGCTATCGCTTAAAAAGATATTGCTTAGAGCCTCACTATGGAACACAAACTTTCATCTCTGTTTTCATATGGTTTCTTAAATGGTATTTATTGCTAGCTATAAAATCCAACTTTTTGGTCTTCACTGAATAAATATCCAAATCTAAGCAGTTCTATGGAAGCCTGGGAGCTGTAGTTTGGTGATGAACCAGCACTACTTGGCAGAGAAGGTTAAAGACTTTGCAAAACTACAACTACCATGATTCCATAGCAATGTGCCATGGCAGTTAAAGTGGTGTTGAACTAAGTTGATTTTGCAATGTAGATGTATCATGTAACAACCCCTTTAAAATGAGAAGCAGATTAACATCTGCCTGTGTATTTATTAATACACATACTGGACATATTTTTGTTTATTTTATTTCATATATTTCTACCCCGCCCTTCTCCGCACAAGGGGATTCAGGGTGGCCTCACATAAGCAACAGATGATGCTAACAACATATACACCATAAGAATTACAATTAAAACAGTAAAATCATTTTAAAAACATTATACAAAATCATCACTAAATTCATTTAACAATAAATTAACATGCCAGTAAAACCAAATCCGCTCCTGGTCCAAGCTATTAGTCTAAATGTGGAGAGGTTTTGCAAACAGGGGCAAGTCTGTCTGTCTTATCTACATGGAGAAAAATCCTGATTGTTCTACAGTGTTCCACCACATGGAAGGACCCATTTCCATGTTCATATTTGAAGATAGCTATCCTATTTCTTCTGAACCTTCTCTACCCAAAACATGCCCAGCTTCCTGACAACCGCTCCCCATAGTATTTAATTTCCATCTTGGTCACCTTCTTCAGGAGATATTCCTGCTCATTAACATCCTTATTAAAGAATGGTGCTCACAACCAACTCAGGTGGAATTGGACCAAAGTAAAATGAAAGTATCCTATTGATCAGACCCCTATACTTTTTGTTGATGCAGCTTAAATCTGCATTAGCTTTTTCCCTTCTCCCTTTTGCACCATATACTTAGCATGCAATCTATTATTGCCTGTTGATCCTTTTCATGTATAGTGTGGCCAAGCCAGTGATTACACATTTTATATTTGTACAACTGATCTCCTCCCTACATATCTTTACTGTTATCCTTTTCCCAATTCATTTTATTTGATGTGTCTCAATTCTCCAATCTGTTATGGTCATCTTGGTTCGTGCTTGTATCTTCTGGGAGGTATTAGCTACACTTCCCAGGTTGGTGTCAGCTGCAGATTTGCTCTGAGTGCCCTCTGTTCTTTGATCCAAGTCATTTATAAGGATATTGAAAAATACTGGGCCTAAGGCAGAGCCTTGCAGCATTCCAATTGTCACTTCTCTTCCAAATGACAAGGCATCCAGGCTATTTGACCAGTCACATCTCCTCTTACAAACCAGCTTGGGCACTGCGGTGAGAGGAGGAGGCCCTGCTCTCGGTCCCACCCCCATCTAAAGTATAGCTGGTGGGAATGAGAGAGTGGGCTTTCTCCGTGATCACTCCCACCTCTGGAACTCCCTTCTTAAAGAAATATAGATGGCCCCCTCCCTCCTCTTCTTCAAAAAAATAACATGATATCTATGGGGCTGCCATATGCCAACAGCTTGAAAAAGACACAAGATAATTCCACAGCATACTCCTTACATTCCAAATTCCCAGAAAGAAAGATAAAATTCCATAATGACTTGTTTCTGAGAAACTCATGCTGTCTTTGGTAATCACAGCATTATTTCATAAGTGCACATAGTCTCAGTGCTTAATGTATAATTTTAAAACCTTCTCTGCTTTACTGGTTCATATTTGAACGTGGGTGTTTTTTCTTTAATTGCATACCACTTCAGGCACTTTTTCTTGCTGAATGTGACATGTGTTTAAAAATATTTTTAAACTGCTATATTTTGTAAAAAATATATAGTATAATGTGTGATTAACAAACATGTGAAATGTCATTGTGCTTTAAAGTAAGCAATAAGTGAATGTCGCTTCATCCCAAACAGAACTGAAATAAGGATTCGAGTTCTACATATGCAAACGAGCTTCCAAAATAACATTTTCAATATTTTCCCATTTGATATTCTCTTGATAAGAGTCCGTTGATATGCAAAATATATTTACAACTAAGGGCCGTTCCACAAAGGCATATAACCCTGAATATCAAGACAGAAAATGCCACACTATCTGCTTTGAACTCGGTTATCTGAGTCCACACTGCCATATATCCCAGTTCAAAGCGGTTAATGTGGGGGTTTTTTCAGCTGTGTGGAAGGGGCCTATGTGTCAATGTGTACAAATATACTGAATATCACATAATGCATCATTAACAAGTGTGTGTTCATTTATTCTTTTGAAAATAATTTGGACCCAAATCAGTATTTTTTTAACCAAAAAAACTCCTCAAGGCTGAGAGTGTGGCCAACAATATGGGAGCATTCAATTTTATTCAACACATTTTCACAATACACAATAGATTTTGATTAATAACAAATAATTTAGTTTTGGGTTGCTATATAGCTATGATTTGATATATGGTCAAATAATATGCAGGTCAATCAGGCTACTGCATGCATAACTATGTGACAATACATTAAATGTATCATTGAATATATTCTGTTTTATTGTATAGGATTGGAAATGTCTGGATGATTTATGTGTCATTCTCCTCTTGAGAAAACTGTTCCCTTATATCAAACTGATATGATCTCAGAATTTGAGTTTCAAAGTAGTCCTAACTGCCAAGATCCACACATGAGCAACCTGACAGAATATAAATAGTTGAATTTTGATGTAGTCACACAATGTTTGGCATTTCTATTACACTTCTGCACAGAAAAACCGAGCCACAAAAAAGATTGTGACAGATGAAGATTCTGAATTCTGCTTGTTTATAGAGTATGCACAAAACAAAAGACCCATCATATATAAAAGCAGACAACTATATCACAGATTTGCCCCCTATGCTCCTAGATAGGTTTTAAAGCTGCC